TATATATATATATATATATATATAACTCGAAGAATCGAATGGAATGGACACTGAGTAATCACGCTCTTTCATCATATACTCTGCCATATGTTGCAATCTACGACACACTCGGTCCCGATTCTGTACATTATGTGACGGAGCATAGTGAAATGGTAGCAGCCTCCTGTGAGAAGATTCGCCTCGAGTCTGTTCTTACAGCGATCGGAAAGCTATTTCCAAATGTCAAATTCACCATTTGCTTCGATGTAGTCACATCTAAGGACAAGGCCAAATTCACGAAAGCAGGCGTCGAGCTACTAACCTTACATGAGCTGGTGGATATGGGCGTGGATAATGTCTTCCCACATGATCCTCCCACTGCATCGGATGTTGCGGTACTCATGTATACATCGGGTACCACCGGTAACCCCAAAGGTGTTCAGGTCACACACAGCAACGTAATGGCTAATTTAATTTCACTTCAGAAACGCCTGAACGTGCGCAACCAGGATGTGCACTTCTCATTTCTTCCGTTGGCTCACATACTTGAATGGGTGGTGCAGGCATTATACATTAGCCAGGGTTGTAGCATTGTGTTTTATCAAGGGATTCTGCCCGAGCTTATGCTGGATATCCAAACCCTGAAACCCACATTCTTCATCGCCGTCCCTCGTATTCTCTCACGTGCCTACGACAAGATCAACCAAGGCGTCAAGGCAGGAGGTCCTGAAAAAGAAGCTGCGCTCAAAGGCGCATACGATATGCGTCTCGCAGCGCTGGAATGAGGAGAAGACACCCCTGTGCTCAATGAGAAGGTGTTCAATAGAATGGGCTGGCGCTAGGTGGGCGTGTCAAGTGAATTCTCGCCGGCTCGTCACCCCTCGACACGGCTATACACGAGTTTCTACGAGTGTGCGTATGCCCGGTTATCATGGTTGATTATAGGTTGACTGAAACTACCGCAGGTGCTACTATCACTCACTACAACAACATGAAACTCGGTCACGTGGGTTCGCCAATGGCCTCCTATAAAGTTAAGCTGGCGAGCTTTTTCCAAAATGAACTACCTGACAACTGATGAGTATCCTCGTGGTGAGGTGTGCGTAAGAGGTACCAATGTATTTGATTCATATCTAGAGAATCCGGAGAAGACCAAAGAAGACATCAACGAGGATGGATGGTTCCACACTGGCAATGTAGGCCGTTGGAATGCAGATGGCAACCTATCTATCATTGATCGCCAGAAGTCCATTTTCAAACTGTCTCAGGGCAAGTACCTGGCGGCTGAGAATCTCGAAGCTATATACGGCAGGTGTGACTATATTGCGCAGGTGTTTGTGACAGGAGACCCGTTTCACGTTTACCCCGTAGCTGTAGTTGTACCCGATTCTGAAATGATCATCGCTTGGGCCAGGGAGAACAATATCGCGGGCGATGCTAAGACGATCGCTCAAACGCCAGAATTGAAAGCCATGCTGGCCTCGGAGTACAGGACATACACAAAGAGTGTAAACTCAAAGGGTTCCAAAAGCTTGAGGACTTCACTATTGACAATGAGCTGCTCACTCCAACTTTCAAACTGAAGCGTGTCAACGCCACTAAGAAGTATAAGGATCAATTCGCAGACTTGTACGACGCGATCGAGAAACACCAATAAGCAAAAAGGAGCAGCTGGAGGCGAAATTAAGAGGCTAAGCCGGCTGTACCGGTGGCTCAGTATCTGTAAAGTCAAAACAAACTGTCATGAATGATAGCTTGGAATTGAATGAGTTGCAGGTTGAGGGTAGTTAGTAAAGCTCTCCCGTCAGGATTACGTATATTGTATTATAATTTATAAATCTGACGTATAAATTATTGAGTCGATAAAATTATCGATTCAACAGAGACTTACGAACTTTTGTATATATCGATAAATGAAATATACGATTTCAGGTTTCGGAAATAGTTTTGAAATTCGAATACGTGTGCCACCAAAAGGTATACACACAACATTTTTACATACACAGCTACCGGGTTTCCAATTCCAGTTGTTTGTATGGGGATTTGGGTACAACGTACGCATGAACAAATCTAAGTAAGATTTCAACACCTCAACTGACGTGATAAGGCATTCACACGTCGGCTGATTTATTTACAGATTTGCCTAAAGTAGTGTGCACCAACTGAAGCCACTCTTCTTCTGCGTGTCCTTGTTATTGACCTGCACACCAGCGGGCTTGGGTGCAGCGGTGGCTTTGATATCCATCTTCTTCTTGATTGCGGCAGCTGAGAGGAGAGAAAGGGAATGGCACTGAATTAGGAGGGTAGTAGAGCGCACACACACCCACACAACACAAATATATGTGTATGTATATGTATCAAAACACACTCAAATATGTATTAAGCATATGCATATGTATCAAAACACACTCATATATGTATTTATATCTATCCGTTAATCTATCAATATTTCTATATATCGCACCCGCATATACATGTATATGTGTATGTTTGCATGCCTGTTCATTCACTTGGCTCCAGACGGTTTTCAATATACCCGTTTTATTGTAGAAACGTTCACATACCCATTTCAGTAAAGGCCTGCTCTACGTTTATATTATTCTTCGCACTGGTCTCCAGGAATGGAATGCTATACTCTCCCGCCAACGTCGTGCCACGCTGTTTGGTAATAAAAGATAACGAGCTATTATTAAGATTGTGATGATAATTACTTCACACACACACACACACACACATATATATATATATTATATATAATAGAGGGCGTCAGTGAACACAAACAAAGGGTTTAGGGCTTGATTCGACGAGAGAGTTTACCGTCGATAGTGTAAAATGTTTCAGGTGAACTCGAGGCGAGGCTTGATCGGTAGCTTGGCCGATAGCTTTTCATTCAAAGAATAGCACACACATCAAAACTTTCATGAGCATGTAATTAGAGGGTATGAAAGGGTCAGCGTTGTACACAGAAACATACGTTAGAAAAATTCGAAGGACGCAGAAAAACACAAACACAATGCCCACACACGCACACATAGAAACACATACACGCACCCATACAAAACACGCGAGAGGTGCTACCAAACTGATAGTTGATACGAAGATAATTCAATACACATACCTCTGTGGCAACAGCACGCTTATCCTCCATGTCACATTTATTGCCCAGAATCATCTTCTCCACATCCTCACTCGCATGCGTCTCAATGTTCTTAATCCACTGCCGGATATTATCAAATGACTTCTCACATGTCACATCTGTGAAGAGAAGAGATTGATAATCACGATTATATACTATGCCTGCATGTAGATGACGATTTGCAATACATTGTAGCCAAATGGCAACCAATCCAGACTTTGACGAGTACTCGGAATACAAGCACGTATGTGATTAGTAAATGCAGATCTATATGTTTACATTGATGCGTTATGCCAGCACTATATCGTTTGCCTTCATACGCTTCGCTGTAGTGCGTGTAACGTAAAATATTGTATACTGGCATGTATAGGTTCCACGTGTCGATATATGATACACATGCCATACATACATTGCCTTCTGATCGTATGTAGTCTTAGTTTCCATACAGAAGCCTTATATATATTCCTCGTATACAATCTAACATCAATACTTTGTTTAGATGTACCTTATATGAATTGTATATGCAATTATGCTCCTTGTACTTGTTAAGAATCGTCTACACATCATATAACCATTGGTTTTCAATAGTTGTTTGCCAGGAACGTAACGTGGATACATTGTATATGGACATGTATAAATATCAATATAAATAAGGATCTGAATATATCTATATATCTATATATATATATAAAGATATACATAAATGTATAAATTCGCTATAGAAATATACACATATATTTACATACATTTACACATATATATATATAAAGAAATAAATTCATATACACACACACACACATATAATATATATATATATATATATGGTTTAGACATATCCCCTATATGTGCGAAATATCTTACCGTACACAAGCAATATGCCCATCGCTCCTCGGTAGTAGGCTGTTGTGATTGTGCGGAATCGTTCTTGACCTGCCGTGTCCCAAATTTGTAATTTGATCTTTTTGCCGTCCATTTCAATAGTTCGGATCTTGAAATCAATACCTAAACCAAATATAGCGCACATAATTGCATTGAGTTCATGTGAAGACAGTATATATATATATATATATATATATCTAGCCCAGCTGAAATAAACATGTTATTCAATCGGTTTACCATCCGATTCGTTGGTTCGGATCCTGAAGTGGATTCCGGTGCGATCGCATAGGTGTAGAGAATATGCATTGACCATGTGTGAGCTGGGAGTATATATAAAGCGTAGATGACGTTCAGAAGAGAATTTCAAGCTAACAAGGTCATAGAGGATGGTAGTAAGCAGAAACAGTTGAAACCGAATAACAAACTGATACACAAATGAAACCAATGAGAACTCCTACGACATTCAAACTAATACATAACTGAATGTTTATTTCCCCAGGTAGCTATGCCAGTAGGAACAAACAGATATAAACACCCGTTTAGCATTTAAGAGTCCACGTGATATATGTATAGGAAGACTTATAAATGAACACACACACACGCGTAGGCAATCCATATACCTGAGCACTACGTACACCAAACATCAATCACAAATACGTAGATAAATCACCATCCATCAGTATGGTTCTTGGACATCAACATGCGCAAACACACATAATTGTATATTAAAATACCTGGACAAGGGATTCAGAGTCATAAAAACGATCTATATATTTAACATAAGCTTGCCAAAAGTGCATAAATTTCTGATGTTATGTAATCAGGAATGATCTGCAAATATGAAATGAAATTTATGTCAAATTTATGCTTGATTTTTCTTTCATTGACATAAGTAGTATACATGTGTATAAACTAAGATTCGTGAACTTCACCTCTCATATATATATAGAAATATGTATATGTATATATTTATCATGTATAGATAGAGATATAGATTTAGAAGATACAGATATACACCTATATACAAATAAAACTACAAATAGAAATACACACACATATATATATATACATACATATACATATACATACACCACCCACCCATATATTTATATATATATAAATACTCCAGTACAGCCACGTACATGTTCATATCAGCATAAGAAGTGTATGGGAAATGGTGGGAGAGTAAACGCATGCATTTCATAAAAAGTATTCAAACATATCTACACGGATGATTAAAAAAATGCATACAAACTAACAAAACGATCACAAAAATAACGGTTAACTTGGTTCAAATATTTATATACATGATAAATACATCGGCTTTAACGTGAAGAAGAAGGAAGAAAGCGGCAAACCATATATTGAAGAAGAGCTCTATATAGACTACCTAATTTAGAAATATATATATATACTTTAAATACATATACATATACATGTATTATATACACAGGCATGCATACATACACATACATAAACACACACACACACACACAGACAAACAAATATATACAAATATATACATTGCTCATACACACACAGACAAACAAACAAATATATATATATATATATATATATAACGTAATATATATATATATATACACGTATAAATATATATACATATATATATATATACATACGTACAAACATATATACATATACATATATATACGTATATATATATACAACATATATGTATATATGTATATATATACATACATACATATATACATATATATATATATATTTATATATATACATATATATTAATATATATATATATAGATAGATATACACGAGCATATATATATACAGGAATACATATATACTTAATTGTCTATATATACACACACACACACACATACATATATATATATAAATAAGTATACATGTATATATTTATATATAGATAGATATACACGAAGATAGTATATACATATATATATACATATATTTACTATACACACACACACACATACACACACACACACACACTAACACACACACACACACATATATATATATATAGTTGACAAGGAAATGACAATCTAGAGTAGTACAAATTATGCTTCGACGTCAGCATCGCGAAGAATTCACATTCCATTGCAAGGCATATCTTTAGACAGACACAGATTGCACGACAAAATGTGACCAAACCAAAGCGACAAGTAGTAGATAAGATACACACATCTCTCATGTGATAGTCACACACAAAAGAAAACTAATGATACGTGGGGCTACAGGCGCTACATAGTGTGTTCAGAGATCCAATAGGACACTATTTAGGTCTCTTAGGGTTTTGAATTTCATCTAGTTTAGTGATCTCTAGTCGGATAAACCGTAGTGTACATGCCGACTACAACACGACACCAAGACACTTCACGACACTACGACACTTCGACATCCATAACACGCATAAGCATATGATATAGTACGTATGCATAACACGCATAAGCATAAGATATAGTACGTATGCATAACACGCATAAGCATATGATATAGTACGTATGCGAGCCACTCACCTGTAACCGCGAGAGGGGAACCGTCTTGCGATGTTTGGCGCAGCGACGATTTTAGCTTAGGCGTAGTTGTTGCATCCGAACCTATACATACATGAATTCATTCAGAGATTAGATATATTACACATAGATTTAGATACATTCAGAGAACAGATACCTATACATAAATACATTCTAATACAAACAGGAGAACTTATATTACACACAGATATTTTCAGTTATAAGCACAAGGTCATATACGCACAGCACAGCCATACCACAGCCCGATAGAGATGGTATGGAATGGGATTACCAGCGGGCCTCGCGATAAAGTGTGTGGACAACCGCATGTAATCAGGACCACAAAACCCAAAACCCTAAAACTATATGACATGCCATGTATATCCGCTGGTGCCAGTGTTCGCATGGGCGGTGTGCAAGAATCGCTTAGACTAAACCCTTGACCTTAAAACCATAAAACATGTCGTCTGACTGCGGATAGTCTGAGCATACCAAACTAAGCCCCAATTCTAAACCCTAAACCCTAAAACTCTTGAACCCTAAAACATGTCTGCCTGCGAATAGACTAGGCATACCGCTGGCAGGATGCTCAACCACCCGTCGTTGCGCTATGTTGCTGTCCGATTCCCCGGCTTTCATCTCCTCTGGTGAACGCATTGGATATACAAACAAAGTCAATGAATTGCACCCTGGCATTATAGAACACCGAAATCGAATTTGTGTACGAGCTCTGGCATTGGACATGATATATATATATATATATATATATATATATAACATGTACCAAAATCGGAGAACGATTGCGGGGTGGTTGACGCACGTATTGATAAGCAAATGGTTCATTGTATGTCACTCATCATTTGCAAACATTTGGTCACTGAAAATAGCAAATACCCGAGCTCCCACCTTTTGTACACAATTAATTGTCAACCCTCAGGAACTATCATACATAACTTTCTAAATTATTTATGTATGGAATAACCACTCTTCAAACAAAAAGCAATACAATCATCAATCTATGACCACGTACACTGTAGATGGCAGGTGAGAGGCCACCTACGATTCTGAGAACAAAAACACAGACCTGATGTTACGTTCGCATTATAAACCTATTTTGGAACAGCATACAGTTTAGGAGGCACATAACAGCAAACTTTAAATACTGGGACTACAAACACAATCACTGTGATAAGTATTGGGAATACAAACCCAATTATCACCGATAAGTATGCGAACTGAAAAGATCGCTTACCGTACACCAATGAGATTCACAGATGTCACAAAAAGCACGTGTACACTACTTTTACCCAAGTCCCTATAGACTATCAGTATACCGCACCTTCACTAATCCAATATGTTCTCTACCTATATTCCATAATACCAAAAACAAACAAAAATAGAGCCTTTCTCAGGCCTAGAATACCTGGCTTCTCTTGATGATGACGATGACGGTAACTAAACAATAAGTCCCCTACCAACAATCCAAAATCCAAAATCTACAATCTATCATATATGTATAATATAAATATAATGTATATATATGTATATATATAAATATAAAAAGTAGGGCCTTTCGTAGGCCTAAGATACCTAGCTTTTCCTGGATGATGATGCGGTCACATACGTAGAACACAGCCAGCGACTCCAGCAGACAAAGGAACAGCACAATGTACGATGTCAGAATCAGGCTCGTCACCGGTGTGAAGTAACTGCCGTGCGCAGGGTATGTATAAACAAAGACATGAGCGTATGATTTGTATGGGAGTGAAGGCCTGCCACGAAGTGCTAGTAGCTAGCAACCAAGGCTTGAACGAACACACGTCCCCTTAAAACCACACAGTCTGGATAGCCTATGGTGTGGGGTGAGCCTCAGACTTGCGATGGAGCGACAGAAAATCTCGCGGTAGGTATACGACAATCGTTTATAGATCCAGACAAAGTAGAAGTGTTGGGCGTGTGCCTTGATGTGCGTTGAGGTGAATTGGTCCACAGTTGGATTTTGGATTGTGTTTACTGGTCTGTCGTGAGGATGTGCACTGTCACAGATAGATGGAGAATACGCCCAGACACAGGTGGTGGGGGGCATAATAAATAATCTAAACAAATAAAATGGTGGAAGCTGATAACTCTTGAACTCAACGTCGTAGCGATATGAGATTTATAAAGACATCCGGCTACGCGCATGTAGGGGGCGTACCAGAGAGTGCTAGGATATCAGTCATGTGAATACCACAGTATGTCTACACTCCATATGACACAGAATAGAAAAAATAGGGTCATTCGTCAGACGGGCCAAGTCTTGAGGAGACGAACTACGACACAAACTAAGAGCCAGGGGGCCGTGCAAGGACAGATGGTAGGGTACACATCACTCAAATAGGGCTGAAGAATTGCCCTAAAACGTCGTGCAGAGTGTCTTGGTACAGGCGTTATCTACGCTGCTGTGAGATTCCCGACCCAAACCGCACACACACCCATTACGTACAAATAAAAACATCGATACTACCATGCGCAGACTCAACCCCCCTACATCACGCATATGTACGTTGTTCAATAACCTTTAAGGACCCGTACGAAAAGATATGGCTACGAGTATACCTGCTGGACGGGAGGTTTTCGTTGATGACAAACTGGAGAGCTGTCAGAGCCAGGAAGAGCGTGATCACAACACCCACACGCTGTTCTAGGAGGAGTGGGTCGATCCTGCAGTGATTCGCAGTGAGGTTCGATAATAAGCTATGGGCACCAAATATTTGAACAACGCATGCTCGCGTGCAAATATTCATCGCCTTAAGGTCGGTAACATATATTCGCCCCTACAGAACTCTGTGCTCACTTTCAACTTCATGTTCTGACCTTTTACCTCTTCAATTTTTTAATTGTCATCCAATGTTTACACATATTTAATTAAGAGATATATATATATATATATGCATATAAATATAAATATAAATATATATCTGTATATATATAAATTTAAATGCATATATATAAATTTAAGTGCATAAATATAT